AAGAGTGTAAAGTCCAAAGCACAAAGGAGAAATTGTTACTGAAGTGTTCATTACTGCATGTCTTTGTCACAGTTTAAGGCAAACATTCTATAATTAAAGTTGGACCAGTAACTGATATGACTACATAAATATATACATATTGAAACTCACATATATGCGCAGACATATATATCTGTGGATATATAAAAATATTTATTTTCTTAGCAAAGTTAAAGTCTGTGTAAAAACATTAAGAATACTGAAAAAGGCAGGAGCTCTAATTCCTCCTTTGGAGAAAAGTAACAAGTCCCCTAGATATCTGTTATAAAAAACACTCTCTGCAAGAGTGCAGCTCATTTTGAATTCTCACGTTGTGGATTAATATATTTGCTGAAGATTTCATAAATAATTAGATAATCTGCAACAATTACGTTGTGAGGTTTGATTGCTACAGCATAACTATAGGCCACTGCTGTACAAAAAATAAATTTTATTCAGATAGTATATGTCCTGCTCTAATAGAACGTGTAGCTATTGCTACAAGTAGAAGTATTTCCGAATATAGTTTTTGTGTTAATGTGTTCGCATATGAAACCTCATTTGGGGGCATTTTCTCTAAAAATTCTTGGGCCAAAAAACCAGCCAAACGCAGATAAATTTTCCCCGGGCCCTCTAAATACTCAGTACAATTTCAAAATAAACCTGTAACAATTACCACTTCAAAGAACTGAAACGCTATACAAAACAAATCTGAAAAAATACGGGGAATGATAGCATAAAACATCAAACCTCCAAACTATGCTTCAACTTAAACCACAGGCATCTCCAGTTAAACATAGCAAAATTGTTTCATCCTCGCCTGATGCAGATTTGCTACTATAGTACTATACAAGAATATACACAACTCTGGAAAACTCCAAAATGTAGAGGCGCAATAATGTAAAACATCCATTAGACAGAGTCTGAAATTCAGTCTAACTATGGATGAAGATCAGACTTACCCTTCTTCTCCTTCATTATAATGGCAACCGAAAAAGGGCAAAACTTCACCTCATATGGCATACAGGTATTCCCTCTAAAGGACTATGACAACAGACTGCTTAAGACATGGATGAGTTTACTGATTACAAGCACACGTTCATAGCAGCAGTCTGCCTGCAACCCAATTCTGAGACGAGTTTTCCATCTTTAAACCTCAGTTACATTATATCCTTGAAACAGTAGTGTCCTGGTGACAAGAAAAAAGAGATTATCAGTGCAAAGGGCCCCATATGAAGTTCATGCTCCTTATCAAGCCTAGTTTATCCAGGCGTTTATTCCTTCCACAAGAACGCATTCTGTGTAGTGTACAAGTGAAGCCATTCTCTCTGAACAAGACATTTGTTTTCAAGCTGTTGGCAATACCTATCGTGTGGCTGAACAAGACACATCAGATGAATCCGATTCCAGTGTAAAATTCCCAAGGAAGATTCCCGTTCTACTAGTGTAAGGCTGGAGTGCACAGCTTCCAGAAATGCTTTTTGGAAGCCATTTTTCAATGCCAATAGAAAATATTCAGGGTATTTTCTTTCTTTATCCTGAGTAAACGGTTGTTGGTTGTTTTTTTTTTTATTTATCAAAGCCCCAGGCACATACTGCTATAGTGCAGTTAGATTTTGTCATATAGTTCCAGCATCCTAAAGGCCATTACTGGATTATTTTCTGAAGCAGTTCTCCTCATTCTTCTCCAACAGGTGGCGGTGGCTGGCATAGCTTGTATAATCTGACAATGACAAAAAATAAAGCAACTGTTATTCTGAGAGCTTGGTTATTGTTAAAATGGGTAAATTCAGGGAATAACAACTAAATTTAAGTCTTCCTCCACTGCAAAACAAGAGGTACTGAATTCAGTTTAATAACATAGGTATAAAACCAGTAAAATCTTATTCATGAGCATGAATGTTTACACTGAAAGCAGTATTATTAAAATACACATCTATAAGCAATCTTATAAACACTTTCCAGTTTAGTCAAGTTTTCATATTTCTGCACTGAAGACCCTGTTCTGGAGGTCTCCACTAAGCCTCCACTCATCCAATTACCAGTTGTTGCTCTGAATTTCTAAATTGGAAAAGCTGCTTGGTCAATGCAATTGCCTCCATTTTCGTTTTGTTTTGGCAGAGTCAGACCTCACTCTAACACAGTTTCCTACAAAACCGATGCTCTTTGAAGAACCAAAGACAGATGTCAGACATGTGACACATCAGCATGAAGACTTTAAACTCTCTCCCCACCGTTGCTACACACGTGAAGTAAAGACCAGTAAGATATGGTTCAAATAACTACGTCAGTACAGGTTGAAATAGCCACTCCTTCATTTATAAAGGCTTCTGAATTTCCCTTCAACCCTTTTGCACGGACTTAGTTATTAGTAAGTGTTTGAAACTTTACCCTAATGTTAGGAATACTGAAAAAAAAAAAAAGGAGGGGGGGGGCAATCACTCTGACCTCAGGCTGTCTGTTCCGTATGTCCAGCATACAGTATATCCCCTGCAACCGCAGCAACTAGAACCAGCAATAGACATGATCTCATTTGGAGATTACATATTTTCCTTAGGGAAAGCATATCATCGAAGGAATAGTAAAGAGAAGAGACCGAGTATGGCATGGCAAGGAGAAAAAGCAAGAGAAGCCAAAAACGAGTGACAATGACACAGCATGTGCATTAATACCTAACATGAAGAATCTCTAATATTAAAACACCAAAGCAATAGAAATAGCAGGTTTGGTAGGTCTGGGTACAGGCAGGGTGGTGAATCATCCAGTGGCTTGGGGGCTAGGGATATTTAAGATGCTCAGACTATCTGAGTTTTTCAAGTATAATTTGCAAAGTTGCCTGCTAAACATCGCATTAATTTATATGACTCCATTTTAACTAATCATAAATTTCAAAATCACACTACAAATCAACACACAAAACAAAAATCTGTAAATGTGGCTGGGCTCCCCTAACAACTCAAGATCAATGGGCTGGTGCCTTCTTGGCGTGATACTCTGCTACTGAAATTATGTGAGACACAGTATGCATGGCCGCCCCTGTGAGTATTGAAAGCCTCTTCAACATCTAGGCACATCCTGTTAGAAAAAACATCCTGTGGCTACGTGAAAGCAGAGCAAGACAGCTGCTGTTCTCTCATTTCAGTTCCCTCCGTAGTTAAAACCCATGGGACACTGACAACACACAATGGCCATGAGTTAAATAACTTTTCTCTGAATCTCACTGGCAGTGATCATCAAGCGGAGTATTGTTTCTGGATGGTAAGAACAAGGAGCATCAGCCAAACAGCAATTGCAAACCTGCTTTCAAACCTCCATCATAATGTGTTCTGAAGATCATTGGGTTCTTCCACATTGTCATCTGGCAGATTCAGAAACATGACCACTTAAGGTCACATTGTCAGCCACCAATGTATTTGTTAGGAGCCATATATAAGCCAACACATTATCTCATATTTGTATACCAATGAGAGAATAAGATGGCCTGATCTTTATATAAAAAGTATGCAGAGAAAAATAAGCAGGGGATATTTGCATTATTTGATTCTGCTGGTGTCATAAGACAGTAATATTCAAAGCTGGCAAAAGACAGATAAAATTACTGTCAGAATCTCATCCAAGTGCCCTGGTTTCAGCTGAGAAAGAGTTAATTTTCTCTGCTGTGTTTTCAGATTTGTTATGGAAGGAATGTCAATAGCACATAATTGTTTTAGTTGCTGTTAAGTGATGTTTATACTAGTCAAGGACTTTTTTCAGCTTCCCATGGAAGCTGAGAAGAAGCATAGACAGAACAATAGAATGGCCAGTGGAATATCCGTACTATAGGCATCATGCTCGGTTTATAAATAGGGGTTGGTGAGGGGGAGGGGGCAGGGAATCTGCAATCTCTGCTCGGGTCAGGCAACCAATTCACCAGGCAGTGAGACCAACTTGTGTCTTGTATATTCTTGTACCCTTGTTATTATTGTTATTTTCCTTTTCCATTATTGTTCTATTAAACTGTCTTTATCTCAGCCCATGAGGGTCTTATTTTTCCTCCTTTCACCTCCTTTTCTCCCTCTTCTCCCTACCCTTCTTAGGGAAAAAGAGGGGGTGAGCGAGAGGCTCTGTGATCCTAGTTGCTAGCTAGGATTAAACCATGACACTAAATAATTGCAGTGGGGTTAGTTCTTCATGATGTTTTAGCAAAATCTAATTTCTATGGAACATAGAACAGTGCAGAAAAACTCAGCCCCAAGTACCAAGGTCTGTTTCAGGTTAAAATGGTAATCATTAAGGTTACTTGTCTTCAGAGCAAGTGATGTAGGAGAATTCTGAAGCAAACGAACAAGGCTGCATAAATCTCGAAGGAGCTATACTTGCTGAAGATGGTATGGAGAAGAAACAGCCTGTTCTGGGTCAATATATATGGAACAACTATTTGAGATGGTACAAACAGATCAGCTGAGAAAAGACAGAAAACAGTGCAACGGCAGAGAACTGAGAACACTGTCAAGTGATGTTAAATGGAGCCAAATGTAAAGGTAAAATTATTTTCAAAGGCAAAGAACTAAGAACCCACAGTATCATTTACTTACACATCAAAACTATCACTCCTGCTGACGACTATTCTGACTTATGTGACTTATCTCTCTAACGGTACACCAAATGCCCCAAACACGGAGGTCAACGAGACATCACTGTTGCTGCTGACTGGCAAATGTGTTGCATATATCTGTCTATCCTACGTTGTAGAAGCCACCTCATAATTTTCCTTCAGCTTTTCATTGCTATGTTGTGGGAGTGTCAGCTGGAAAGAGGGAATCTTTTCTCAACTGATGCAATGCCAAAAAATATCTCACGGCTCAGTTTTTCTTTTTAAGAACTTAGATTTTTCCCTTATCACAAAAGCTCTGAATCTAGACACATGCTCTGTCATTTAAAGGTGGAGAAGTTTGGTTTGCAGCAATTCTTTGGCTGTCTCCAGAATTAAGTCATGAAGGAGGAGTTCATTTTAGGCCAAAACCATACCGTTCAAAACATGAAAAGGCTTCTCACAGCTTTTACTGTAATAAAATGTTGATTTACTGCCTTATCTTCCCACAATGCAAGACAGTTGGTCAGACAATTTTGGTCTCACCTGCTGGTAAGGGCAATGACTTCTTTGCTGATGAGTTTACTCTAGAATCAGTACTTTTGCTGGATCTTACTTAATCTCCTTTACGGAGCAAGCAAGACGCATATGTGCTCCAACAAATGCTGCTCCTCAGCAACTGAACAGCAGCTGCTACTCAGATTTACTCATACCTTGTACACTTAAGGTACACTCCTTTTCTAGAATCAGATCAAGTACATGCACAGAACAATGTGCAGTGATTTGTTACAAACAAATTATGACCAGTAGCCTGAGTCCCTGCTGGGAGGAAATGGGACATCTGAGAAAAGGGAAGCAAACTGCGCAAGAAGAAAAAGGTCCTGAGTATTACTGGTCAGAATCCAGAAGACAGTCTTTCTGTGAGGCTATGGATAGCGTGTGTTCATTCACATGGTTACCTCTATCAGGTATTACTAATTCATTGTTTCCTTACTAAAATTTAAACACAACAGTGGGTCTGTTATGTATTTCACATACCTGTTTAGCTCATTCAATGTGTTGTCATTAGTCTACAAAAAACATTATGTTTTAAATTGGTAAAAAAAAGTTTAAACTAGAGCTGGATTAATAAAATCGCTTTAAGATAAAATTAAGAACATTGTTGTGTGCTTAAGAAACATTTCAGGTACCTGCAATCCATCACAGCATTAAAAAGCTGGATAAATATAGAACAGTTGCATTTTTCATTCTAATGGATGTTTCAGAAAGAGACAAAGAAAGACTACATCATCTCTAAAAGCAACTAGGACATGATTTTCTGAGATATTGCAGTACAGTATTTCATTAAAATGGGGTTATGGATTTAGTTATGAGTATTTCCTCAAAACCACAAAACATCACAAGTGATGAAGGACTTACTCCGGTGTTTTTATAATTAACATGAACTAGGTTTTATTTTTCAAAAACAGGCACATTTTGAAGTGCTACGTAGCCTGAATTTCTGCAAGTAATTACTTTAAGTAAAACTGTATGGCTAAGAACGTAATTGAATTCATGTACATTAAAAGCCAAATCTTACAAATTAGTGCACAATACAGTCAATATTTATTGTTAGCTCTTGAGCAGCTACGACAGAATTTGGCACAAACTAGATAAAATCATGGTCTAGAACACAAACAATCAGTTACCTTGGGACAGACTGTGGCGTTCGATCCCTCACCCCTAAATTCTTGGCTGTGTTTTGTACTCTTGCACCCTGTGAAAGAAAAACAACAATTTTGTTTCATTTATTCCAACACGAGTTAGAAAGTTTTCTAAACTTTCTAGACGACCATAACTATCGGGTTATAATTAATTAATATGTATGCTCCATGTCCCGAAACAACTCCCCTCTTCTAAGGTGGGGAACAAGTTGAAGCAGTATATTAATTCTCAGCTTTGAGAAATATGCAAAAAGAGACAAAATCTCTCCACTTGTTATGAAATAAATGCATACATATATATCTTACTAACATAAAAGACTTAATAAAAAAATAACATTTAAGGTTTAAAACAATCCAAACACATCGTTTCAGTTTGTTTGATTTTTCTCACCATTCTTTGTAGAAGGCATGGGTAACAAAGATCTTTTCTGAAATGTCACTTATTTCCTATGAATTTCTGAACAAACAAATATTATACATTATTTCCTATGAATAGCTTTCTAGTGAAATTTAGAAAAATGGCCTAAACTGAGGCACTAAATTAGGATTAGAAAAAAACGCAGGTCCTGATCTTCCTTTATAATCACAGAATCACAAAAAAAAATCAGGTTGGAAGGGACCTCCTGAGATTGTTTAGTCCAACAACGCCGCTTAAAGCAGGACCAACTAGAAAAGTTGGTCTGTCTGTACTTCAACCGATCCTTTGAAAAACAATAATGACAGTACTTTTGTCTCACTAACTCATCCAGTAAGGAGGAAGTTGATAAAAGATGCACAATGTTCATATACCACGATAGGGAAAAATGCAGACTCTTCTGCAAACAAACTAGCTTAGACACGTGAAAAACTTAGCAAAATTTGGTTTTAAATGATGAGGTCTAGCTTTTAAAGTACAGTTTCATTAATGTAAAGTAGTCATCACAAAGAAACATATCTGTTAGAATTACAGGGTTTTTTATGTTTTCTAACATTTTAAAGGAGATGGAAACTACTTGTTCTCTCTAGAATACAAACACCGACTCTCCCTTTATTTGTCCTTCCGTACTACCTAAATTCAGGACAAAATAACAGAGAACAAAAAAGGTGTAATCTCAGCATTCTTACAGTGAGATACTACATTGGTATGAAACATCAACAATAATTTACATTCCAAACAGAGCTGCAATGGCAGCTGCACATGATAGAAAAATGAGGTATAATCATTGATTCAATACGTAGAATAAGATTAGACTTTGCATTTGACTGAAATCTGATACGTAGGTAATTGAGAAGGTGTTAGTTCACTGTTACAGGCTCAAACAAAAGATGAAAAAAGCTGGCTGGTTACACACAGGTAGGTTCTCAGGGTTTATGTAAATCAACACATGCCACAAAAAAATACTCTGTCCTCGTATTTCTTTTAGGAAAAAAAAATAGTGTTAAAGATAGAGAAAATAACTGGAGTACCTACAAAACTGAAGGCAGAATATAAAAGTGATTTTACTAGTTTTACATCTAGCTCAGTAAGCTTGTCTCCAACAGCTGCAAAAGATACATGACTACAGACCATGAAAAAATGTCTTTCCCCAGAAACTCCTTCAGAATTCAATCATTAGTCACTCAATACTTCCTCTGTTCAGCAACAAAAATATATTTAATTGATTTCAGTGATTCTATTCTATTCTTTCCCATCTCATCTTGAACCCAAGAATAACTTACATCACTAACCTCCTTGTGGAAAGAGATCCACGTCTTGGGTACAATCTTAGCTTGCTGTGTCAAGAACCACTATTTTAATTTGGTTTGAATCTGCTACTTTCGTTTGATGCCTTTAGTTCTGCACTGGTGAGGACAATGGTCAGTCCCTAACATGCCACATGTTCTTTAGACCTTTGTCATATCCTGCTTCACTCATGAAGCTAAACCATCTTAGATTATTTTGTCTCTCTGTCTGTCCTGTCTATAAACCCTTCCAAACTGTTGATCATTTTTTCTGATTTTCCATTATGGTATATCCTTAGGGGAGAGATCAGAACATCAGATAGTTCAAAATGAAGAGTCATTACAGCAGGATTTCTACTTTGTCATCTATTCTTGCCTAAACTTTTATAACTTCTGATTCGCTTTATTAGTAGCTACTGAGAATTGAGCTGATGTTTTCTATCATATCCTGAGGTCTTGAACATGAGATGTAATGGCAAACTCACAGTCAGGTATTGTGAATGTGAACTTAGGGTTTGTTTTTCCCCATGTGCATCGCTTAAGAGTTATCTCCACTGATTTTCACCTGCCATTTTATTGCTCAATCATGAAGTCCTGTAAGATTCTTTTATAATTCTTCATAGTTACTTCTCATCTTTAAAAAAATTTGAAAAGAGTTCAGAAGAGAATAAGGAGAATGATTAGGTAAGAAAATACAACTGAAAAAAGAAAGATCAGATTAACTGATTTTCTTCTATCTACAAAAGTGATGACTTATCAGGAAAATGATAATCAAATTGGGAACAGACTTTTTAGTAGGGCCTGTAGCAACAGGATAAAGGATAATGGTTTTAGACTAAAAGAAGGTAGATTCAGACTAGATATAAGGAAGAAATTTTTTTACGATGAGGGTAGTGAAACACTGGAACAAGTTGCCCAGAGAAGTTGTAGATGCCCTGTCTCTGGAAACATCCAAAATACTAGAAGTCTACTGCTAAAAAGGGAGTAAAATCTGTTCTCTAAACCTACAGTATACTGGACAGAAAACACAAGACTTAAATTGAAGGAAAAAAAAATCCAACCAAGACTCAAACAAGGCACTAAGTAGAACATCCTAATGAAAAGGTTAAGAAAACTCTGGAACAGACCACTTGGGAAGCACTGTACAGGAGTCTCCACTACTGGAGGTTTAAGAACACATACGACAATTGTCTGTCATGAATTACGTAAGGATGGCTATTCCGGTGTTGGTTACAAAGTTAGACATGTTGAGTCCAGACCTTCATCACCTTCAGTGTCCTTTCCTCAGTGCCATTTTCTAAAATTTTATAATAAAGAAACCCCACCATGACAGACTGCTGAGATTGGCAAATGATTAACATAACTGAGAGCCAGAATATACATAGTCACAAGAAAACGATCTATATTAATCACATGTAGATACTGAACGTCAGTGCTGTGACTACCTCTGAGAACAAAACTAGCCTATTTTTACTTGCATCACTCACTAGACAAATTAATTTTAGTATCTTGCTCACATAATAAATCAAATGCGTTGATTTAAAAAGGAGTCTAGCTTTATACAACCATGTAATTTATTGTTTAGCAGGAGAACAAATTAGACCAACCTTACAACCACCAGCTTCTTATTTCGTTTGAGGAAAAGCCCCCAAGAATTACTAGCGACTTGCCACATGACATCTGTTTGTCTCTACTGAGCACAATTATACCACTTCTATTTCAATATACTGTTAATTTATACGTCTCCAATATTATTCTTAAAGCCACAGTCCTGTAAATATTGACACTGTCCATCTCACATAGGCATCAGGGATAGTTGTGCTATGTGGCTCCAGAATGCTTCCCTCTGTGTACCAGTAGTGCCAGAGCACTGGTGAAAGATGCCAGCAGCTCTGAGGAGACACCACCATCAATCTGGACTCTTATACATGAGCTAATATTCTCATTGCCATGAGAAAAATGATAGGTTTATTTTCAAGCTACACACTAATTTAAGGATAGCAAGAACGAGTCACATAAAGAAAACAGATTCTCTTTATGCCCTGCTTGAAGAGCTCTAAATCAGTACAATTCTTATGAGAATTATTCAAAGTGCAGTGCTGTTGTTATACTCATGAAAAGGCATGGAAAAATGATTACTCACTTAAAATACAACACAAATTCTCTCCTAGTCTTTTCTGTTTATCAGCCTTTCAGTCACCTTTCTTCCTCAGAGCCCTGTGCCCTCCTGCAGCTCCTTTCCCAGTCCTCTGTCCTCTCCACACTTTACTTCATCCTGAAGACAGACTCCTGTCAGGATGCTTTACATAGTATTTTGTGCATACAGATGTTTATGTGAATAAACATACATGAGTAAATAAAGTTACTAAAAGATAATTGGGACGTTTTGTCAAAATTTTTATTTTAGAAATTAGTCCAGACTAGATTAGCAGGTGAAAAAACAGAAACTGCTTAGCTAAAAGCATCTCACAGACCCAAGTTCATACCAGCTCTCACAAGCTGGTCTCTTGTTTAGTTCTCGCAGAACAGGTCCTTGCGAATACCTAATTATAACTGACAGGGCAATTACTTTGTCAATTGTTCCAACAATACAGTGGGGGCTATTATAAGTCTTGTTAAACATGATCATGACCTCACTCAATTGAAAAGAAAAGAAAAGAACCCCTTCCTGAGGTCACCCATTAAATGTCCCAGTGTCCAGACACCCAGTCAGGTGTCTCCAGTTACTCAGTACTGGTGCCCCAAGCTGGAAGAGGCATCAGCTTCAAGTAAAGACAATTTCCCCTTCTGGAAAGCTGACACTGCTAGGAGCCAACATTGCTGACTTCTAAATAACAGATGGAAGAGATGTATTTTCATTTGCACCTCCCTGTGCCTAATCTCTTAATTCCACAAAAGATTCAGGGTGTAAACGGGCAAACAAAGTTTTTGTTTAGTTGTTTATTTTTATATTAAACCAGGTAAAAGACATATGTATTGCCCTTAACTAAATGTTCTGCATCAAACCCCAAGAAGCCTTCCCCCACCCCCGGCTCCAAGTTTTATGGCCTGCATTATGCTCCCCACGGTTAAATCCTACAGATAATTTAAACATCAAATCCGGAACAGGTTTCTAGAAAATACCATAGTGCGTTGTTGAAATTACTCTAAAACATTTAGAATTTAATGGAGGGTTATATTTCTACTGCAGAACTCCAAGACTGATTTAAAATTACAACAAAAGATTATTACTCTATTAAATGCCGTAGTGGTTTCCTGCAAGAGGAAAAATGTGTGAAAAAAGTCTGGCTTGATATACTAGCAGACTTTTTTGCAGTGTCTGTGGGTGGTATTGAGATATCGGTATCTTTAACAGCCATTGATCACCAGCTGTTTTACTTCAGAGAATGTAGCCCCACTGCAGACTTCTTTCTATATCTCTGTTTAAGCAAGTACAGTTACAGCTGCTCAAACCCATGCCAGTTACTTTCATTTTGTTTTTCATTTAATAAACTGCAGAAATGAATCAGCATTTTTGAAAACGGTCTAGAACGGTACATTGAAAACGTGCCCTTTGACAGAACATATCCTTCAAGCAGACATACACAAAACTCTACATCCACATTTTTTGATTGCAAAACACCCAGATCTGCCTATTGTCTAGAACTTCAGGAGCAGACATATCAATGTATACATGCAAGTTTATCCTTATACAGCAGTAGTTTTTCTTTTCAAGTCAAGTTAAAGCTGTAACTCCTGAGCAGACCTACATGATCTGATTCAAGAACCTTGAGGGTTTTTACTCACCACAGAAACTGAATTTATGCAAAGAATAAATTCAAAGTCCAATATGAAAATGAATGAGACTAATTACTCTGATGTATCCATGTTAGGCAGCAGCACTTACATATAATCCATCAGAATCTATGGCTTGAGAATATCTACACAATTGCTTTTACAGACTAAAGGTTTGATCTAGCATATGCATTTTTTGTCTACTGCAAGTTAGAAGTAAAGTACAGCTGTTTAATAATTTTCATAACTAAACTGTGAATGCTGCACAGAATATGTAGCAGAATTAATGAAAATAATAAAATTAGATGCAAATTAAAAACCAGAAATTATGAATCTTGTCTTATCTGTGATTAATGGTTCCAATATTTAATTATCTTATTTTCACTTCAAGATTGAGTGCATCCTGTGTCTTGTTTATGCCTTTGTCATAAGGCTTAAAGCTACCACAGGCTGGGATGTATGTTCCATCTGTACACAGAGTGATTAAGCCCCTGCTCAACCTCTCTTTGATCAACTGAATAATTTGAGCTCTTTAATCTTCACTTCATAAGCCTTGCCTAACAACCTCTGGATCATTCGTGCTCCTCCTTTGAACTCTTTCCAAGATTCCAAACATCCTTTTGAAAGCATTTATCTGATAACAAGATATTGTAGGAAAAGTTGTGCCAATATGGTAGAGTCTATCCCCCATTTTCAGCTGACATTGCCTTTTAATCCAGTATTTTTTGTCATACCTCGGCACTAGGAGTTCATGTTGAGGTGGTTATCTATCCACAACAGCCTCTAAATCCTAATATTCTATTATGACCAAAGAATGAAAAACACTATTTCAAAATAAGCACATTGCCCTCAGGAATCTTGCCTGCAAAGTTAAGAACCACAGTTATTTATTTCTCCCCTTCCTTCCTACACTTCCCCTTCATTCAGTACATGAGTCACTTTTTATTAACAATAGTTAAAAATCTTAAGTTATTTTTACGAATAATATATATTAAAATAAAGATTGACTTACTCAACAGACTATTCTGAAGTAAGGTGATACCACAGCACTTACTATACAAAAATCACTAAGTAAAATCTGTAGAAATTATGATCCATTTACACATACAGAGAAAGCAAGCATCTGGTTCAAAACAGCCTGTTCCATTATTTTAAAGGAAACAAACCCTTTCAGTCAACAATAAAGGAAGAGAATTAAAAAAACCGAACTAAATACCCAGACTGAGAAAACCTCACACACACATTACACAACATTAAGATGGAGGTTAAAAGATGCTTGGCCAATTCGTTCTTGTTCGATGATAACACACCTTGCTAGGAAACATCAAGGTCTTACCCACAGCGAGCATCGTACCTGTTTGCGCATGACATCTGTAGCTTGCATGATATAGCGAGGAGGTAGCCCATGGCTGCGAGCCAGAATGATTGCCTGCTCCAGGGTAACACTCAGAGTGCAGCTGCAATGGAAGACAGAAGTCAGCTATCTGCTAGCAGTGATTTCCTTAAAATAATTGCTTTTAGATCAACTATCTTTTTTAAAAGAGTTATAAATAAAAAGATCACATAGTAGACCTGCCCCCTATCCCTCCCTCACCCATGCAGGCATTAGCCTGAACACTAAAATGTTTCTTAATTAGAAAGAGTTTGAGTGTAAGAAGTGTTCCTGCTGTCTTACATCCAAAGCTATTTAACATCCACAAAACAATAAAACCACAACCCAGCTATGGATTGGCAAGCGCATGAGAGAGTGACAACCCACGGATAAGGATTTTTTCGTAACTGTATAAATTCAGGTGGTTTCTGCACACTGTATATCTCTCACCCTCCACTGTTAATGCAGACCATAGCTTTGGTACCAGGATCCTGACCTCTTGCTATTAATTTAGCTTGGTTATTCTCATGGCACATCAGTGCAGTTCAGTCCAAAATTAAGAGATATTTACTCCTTTCAAAAAAGAAAATAAATAAATAGGGCATTCCTTCAAATAAACTGTCCTCTCCTACTTTGCCAATCTTTTTCAAGTAAACGCTTGAGGACAAAAACTGATCATGGTACCACATCCTAATGAAAAGGCTGTAATGGCTTTGTCAGAGGAACCAGGAAAGTTTCAGAGCTAGATATCTTTCTGTAGGACAGCCTGTCATTGCACCAGACAAGAAGTAGTAGGAAAAGTCACTTTGGACATGCCATCGGATTTCAGTTGTCATGGCAAGGATGAGGATAGATAGATGGTTTCTCATACAATCAAGACCAAAGCTGTAGAAGGCTCACACATAAAGGCAACAAAACTCAGTAGAAACAGGTACTTTTTTAAAAGCACAACGTTTGAGGGTTGCTATCATCCAAGAGGTGAGAGTGGCTGCATTTTGCACCAATAAGCTGCTAGATGATTTTTCTGTTTGCAACCGACGTACTGTGACAATCAAATCTCTTCAGCCAGAAAGATGCGGTGCACAGAAAATGATCCTACCTCAGCAGAACCTGACAAAAGTTGCATATTTCAAATTCAAATAATAGAACTAAGGCACATGGTTAAAACATACTTTTGAGTAGACTTCTGGCAAAATCCTGACCAAAAGATTCTGCATAGCTTATATTATGCACACAGAACAGACAATATGTTTCAATCAAACATTCATCTTGCTGAGCAGAAGATCTGTAGGAGGAAAAATGTGTCTGCACTGATTTTCTTACTGAAAAAAAACCTCTACCCTGACATGTTTTAAATACCGCTTAAGTAAATTTATGGACTGTAAAAAGTTTCACAGTGGTGAGCGCAGAAGATATTAAATTTGATCTGTAGCTTTATTAATGGCCTTCCATTAAAAATTTATAAGCTAAGTGATTTTCCTTGGTAATGAAATAATTTTTATTCCCCAGTTTCTTGTATACACTGACCTCAGAGTTAAGCTGAAGGAAAAATCTATTGATCTGTTGTGTTATATGTTTGATTAAGGTGGATAGTAGTTAAATATTAGACTAGAAATTCTAAACATTGTGTTTTCATCTTGTCTTTGAAAGGTGAAATATTGCACAGATAGAGCACATGCTCATAATATTTACCAGCACCAAAATCTAAACATCTGACCTTCAGGACCAGACTGCAAAGGAAGCTTTGTCCCACTGACAAGGGGAAAAAGGAAAAGTATCTGAAATCTAATTTGACAGGTGTAAACTAAGCCAGAGAAAAAGGTTAGAATGTCTCTCTGTAGGTATAACAGAGGTTAATGGGCTCCAAGCACAGCTTTCAACCAACCAGTTACTAAGACAACTTTCCCAGAAATCCCCTCTTCCTGGAACTCACAATTCTGAAAGAACAGAAGAATCATATTCTACATGTGTGAATCAAAACAAACAAGAGAACCTCCTAAATGAAGGTCAGTTTCAAGAATTAGGTTCAAGCACTAATCTTGTGATCAGAAAAGACTGCCAAACTGCTCACTATCCAAAATCTGATGAAATAGCTGGTGATGACGGACATTAAGTGCCGTCTACATTTTGACAATGCCAACTGTGACTGAGAAATAAGGTTACCAAATGTGTCGATAAAGACACAACCAGAGAGGGAAAAGCAGAGACAAAAAGCAAAATAGCATAAAGAAGATTTCTTTAATAGGCTGCTATGAAGGTAGGCAACAACTACAGTACAATCCTGAAACATATAGGCTAAAATCTCACGTCAAAGCATAAAATAAAAGTAATTCTAAGCATAGTATTTTTAATGTATCCTAGGAAATTAGTAGTGAAGACACTCAAGATGACAGCAGTGATGATGTTAACTATTATCACACCTCTTTAATAAAACATTTTACATTCAAGGTGAAGTCCTACAGTAATGCTGGTTAGATACATCCACTGTTTCTTTTTAAAAAACCCATTCTTACTCATCAATGTATGTTAAAAAAGGTTAAAATAGCATCAGTGGCATGACTGCATTTCAATATACTATATCATTAGTGATGCACTTTAATATTGCTAGATTTTGTGTTTTTCTTAAGGCATGTAAAAGATCTGATCAATGGTGGAATTAAATATAAATTATTGTTTATGGCTTTTGTCATGTACTTATGAAATAAGGTTACTACTTTCTAAATACAAAACTCAACAACACTCAAGTAGCTTCATTTTGGCTGAATACTGAATCAATGAGATGGCATCCTCTAATAAAACTAATCATATAAACCTTCCATGGCAATATGCTGAACTGACTCATTAGTAAACATGCATTTACATGCTGGTGCTTTCTCTCAGCTCGTCAAATATAGTTTTTTGAATTGCTACATGTTTGTTATCACGAATCAAACTGCCCTGGAAACCAGCTGTGCAAGAAACAAATGCACACACAAAAGATCAGATGGTAACAGGGAAAAGTTGTAACTGGAGGTACCTAAGCAATAGGAATGCCAAGCACAGAGCGATCAACCAAATACAAATTTAAACCAATACAACTTGTAGAATTTCATGAAACAATATGAAAGCTGGAAACTCCTCATATGGTAAGACTGTTCTGGTGGTCTGAGCAAGGTTCAATATCAAGGATTGTCAGCAAATATGTGCAATATGTAACAATCCATCTTCTCCTCCATTTTAAGCGCTGATGAACAGATGGTATTAAAGTTTACAAAGAAATTTGGAAGTAGTTCTGACCCCTGAAAGTATCTGCTCGTTTGGATGCAATCACCCGAGACAAACCAAACAAGGAAAATATTAGGGCAAAAACTCCTTCAGTGCTCTCATAACATTCTGTTATGGGAAGCATAAATCCCAAATCCATGTATTTTACAGTGTAAACAAATCAAAATCTGTTCTCACTCCCTCTCTTTTCCTCTCATCCCTTCTTTTATGCCAGAAAAACAAAAGACCCAAATTCATCATTTCAGAATTTATGTCAGTTAGAATCACAAATTCCCTGCCTTGACAGATTACAGCAGCAAGGCAGCACAGACATTTGGCTTTTCCAGCACAACTGGGCTGAGAATTCCTCATTTCACCCATTTGGTTTCCAAGAAACAGAAGGGGCTGCAGCTGCTCCCAGCCCTTGTCTCTTATCCCCAGACTCTCATCAGTCATGACAGTATTGATGTGAAGATTAAACATAAACTTTCAAACATCTTCTGGATCAGACCATCCTGAACAAAAGAGGTTAAATCATTTTCTGTCACCTATAGTCCATTTGTTTCTGACTGGATGTGATTTTTACTAAAGGGCAGTAAAATCGGCTGGACAGACATACATCTGCAATGAAAAATGGAGTTGTGAAAGAGGATAATAGATTGAAATTCTCAAAGAAATGGATTATTTCATGACAGCTTGTTTAATGTCACCTGAAAGGAAAAATAATTTGAGTTCATATACACTACCTACAGAGCTGCCACTCAGCAAACTGTATATCTATGTTACCAGAGTAAAAAGAATCGAAATCATTCAGTTCATTCTCAGGTTTCAATTAGGATTCCAGCCATCCTACATCCAAAGATGCATCAAAACATCGCTTAGGAAAATGCCCTGAATAGAAAAGATGAGGTGAAACAAATTGGTTTAGTAGTTACCACAGTCAGAGATGTCGAAATGAATTATGTCCTGGCTACGTGAATAGGAAAAAAAAAAATGAAATGGATGCATGTATGCTTAGTCTAATTAAAATCTAAAGCTTCTACTTAATATGTAATTTAATGCCATCGTTATTATTTTAATTACTCTTCTTTCCATACATCATAAGCTAATCATACCTACATTTGACCACCTTTTAAACCAATTACACTATAAGTATTCATTTGTTTCTGTTGTCATTTGAATTAATGCTTATAGAGCTGCTATTTTTATGTCAGTGTATGCAGCAATTAAAAACTTTAGTACTAAAGTAACTCACTTTGGAGTAAAAATTTTTTGGGGTATTTCTCTCTGATTACTAGTGATTGCTGGGTAATATGTATTGATTCTGGTGACAAACCCAAATAAGAAAACAGGCCATGATACATCTAAAAAGGAGGGAAAACCTTCTTCAGGACTAAAAGGAATAAGCATAAAAAGTGTAGACAGGTCTAATAGAAGATTCTCCCACCATTTCGAAGCTGTTCTCATTGTGGGAATATGTCTCCATGCAAATAAAACTGAAGTTTGCTTTCTGTCTGTCCATATACTAAAACTTTGCTGAACATAATTTAATCTCACAGAGGGAGGGAAGTTGGGCCAGCCCATACGTATTAAAGAGGAAATGAGCAACAAGTTCATACATTAAACTACAATTTTGTATTTTACAATTACAGTAAAACTCTGCTGGAGTTCAGGACTCAGGTTTAGTCTCTTTATGGACCTTTGTGAAGCTGAGATGTTCCCAGTGTGGAAAGATTACTACTTTAAAATCAGTTTTGGACTGAACCCACCCACTGAAGGTTAGTCCAAGACTTCTGATACTTTTGCCAACATACAGCAAGCCATTACTTTGCACATGAAATA